ACTCTTAATGCAAGCTCCATCTTTTTGTAATTTGTCATAACAAGTTGTTTTTCTGCGTTTTCAACTTTCTGTTGCAGCACTTCAATTTTAGATGTCAGGTTGGTGTTGGCTTCCTCCAGGAGCTCCAACTTATCTTCCATTCCAGCAACATAATCTGTCAATACAGTTACAAGTCCGACCATATCCTCCTTTGTTTGAGCAATCTTGGTATCAAGCTTATCACATAAGTCTGTAATAAGTTGCTTCATCTCCTCTCTAAATTCTTTAAGAGTCTCAAAAAGAAATTCTTTCGTTAACAAATCTCCAGTAGGGGGCGTAGAAGATAAGGGCTGCAACTTTGTAGCAAATGCCTGAGATGTATTGCTAAAAGGACGTCTCCCCAACTTTGATTTTGGTGCCATTATAGAAAGGAAGCAAACAAAGTTCTCAGGTCCGGTCTCTGCTTGCGTTGATTTCAGATAAAATAATTTCAGTAAACTTTTAGAGGTTGGTAAGAGGAGATCTTACCTCAAGTCTACTCTTCTCTCCCCTCTACCATGTTATGAAGTGGAAATAGGAAAAAAATAATGATTATTCAGTTAACTGCAGTGCAGCATTTTATCCAGACCCTAAAATGTAACTAACTTTGACTACATGATTTGTTAAAATAGGTCAACTGCAAAGCTCTAAGACATTTTTAAACAAACCATAATTAAAATTAACTATAGTTAATCATGCTGCTTTGAGCAACTTAACAAGCTAGCATGAGCAGGTATAAAGTTTTAAAATTCTTGCAATAATGTTTTGTGAAACCAAAATTAGCCCAGGCACATGATTGTGCAAACAAAACCATATGCTATTATCTCCGGCAAATTGATGCTAATATCACGACCTTTATAAAAGTCTAGGGACACATGCAGAAGTTATTTAGGAAGATTTAGAGCACTGAAGCCAAGAGCGAAGATCTTAATGTTCCAGCAATGATTTTGATAATTAATTGGCAGATAATTTAGACATACAAACTGGGAAATCTGAAACTACACTTTAGGCAGGTTTTTTGAATGACATCCAAGTAACTGATCACAGTCTTCTTGAACACTGCTGGCTGAAATAAATTTGCTTGCTGATTATCACAGTCTGTGCAATAAAGTGTACATCAAATATGCAGGGGGTGGAACAGATTTAATGAACCATAGAAAATGCTGTGGATTTTTTTTTAGCTGCAAGTATAATATTATCTATATGGATGCTACTTTCCTGAAATAATGACTGAAAATACTGAAAAAATAATATTATTTTCTCAAGCCATAACCGCATACCCCCAAAGCAACGTCTATCCAAGCATACTTTTCTTATTGTAGTCTGTGTCATGTCAGGCAGTGAGAGTTTCAGGCAGAGGGATTAACTCTAACTATATCAAATGGAATAAAAAGAACTGCAAAGTGATATCAAGATAGTTATAAATTGGTGGCTGGGATTCCTTCAGACATGGGAAATTCTTATGGAGTCAGACATGGGAAAATATTGGTTCTGATCTGATTCACTGATAAATGAAGTCTTGAGATGAGAATTGTTGTCCTTGGTTAAAATAAATCAATCTTTTAAAGACTGGAAAAAGGAGAGCTGGTACATTGGCTGTTCTGAGAGTTGACAACGTATAGGCTGAGAAAGAATACAAATAGACAATAATCCCAAAGTATGACTGGAATCTGTGTGAAAGTAGAAATCCATAGGCTATTTATAAATTATACTCCAGTGAATTTTAATGAAAAATAAAATCATAGATTTTGGAGAAAAAATATGCAGCCTTCTGAATGAATGCAATTTAAAGAAAAATTAAGTAACTAATGAAATGTGGGAGGGGAATGTCACTGTCAGTGAGATAGACAGCATATAAATTTAATAAGAAAGGAAATGAAATAAGAAAAATAACAAAAATGTAATTGAGTTGTTAAGAAACTACAAAATGAATGTGAATTTTAATAACTGTATGACTATGGACTTAAAAAGTGTGTTTCCAGTATTTGGCTTATGTCTACAGACAGAGAGAGCAAAGGAGTAAATAGTGATCAAGAGCATGACATTTGATTCTTTAAATAGTCACAACTTAAACTAATAAATAAATAACAGGATAAATTTGTACTATAGGCAATTTGCAGTCTGTGCTTATCTTCAGTTCATAAATTATATGATTACCTGTTTTCTCTCTGTGTGTGTCTCTCCCTCCCTCCCTCCCTCCCTCCCTTTACTTTACAGAACTATCCAAGGTGCAGTTGTAATTCTGTGTGGATAAGGTTATAAACAAATGAACAAAAAGTAACCAAAATAAAAATAAACAACTGCAAATACCCATAATTCTCTTAATTAGCTCATTTATTACTGATAGCTCAATGTATGGAAGAAGAGTCAGGTTTTTAAAGACTTGTGAAAAGGTATTTGTGTGTAAGGATGGGGTGAGGAATACTGCTTACAAGTTTGGGGCCAGGAAGCAGAAGGCACACTTTGTGCATGAATGCACTGTTTCACACAGGTTTTGTGGGATTGACAGAGATGATTTGAGGCAATTGGTCCTGAAAGTAACTTACTCCTGTTTTATGGAGAGTTTAATACAGGAGTATCAAACTTGATTTCATTGACAGCTGCATCAGGGTGGGCTTTGATTTTGGTGGTGGGGGCTTAGTTAGTGTGGCCAGGGTGGGCATGGCCAGCTTGATGTCATGCAGCCCTATGCTGGTAAAAACTGAGCCCAGGAGGGCCATGCATGGCCCTCTTGGGCTCCATTTTTGACTGTGATGGCCTCCTACAGCCGTCTGCCCTCTGTCAACAAAAATGAAGCCCACAGGGCCACCCTGGAAACAGCAAAGGACTGGCCTGAAGTGCCTCTTCCAGTGAACACAGAGTTTGGGAGGGCTGGGTGCGCCCCCTCCCTGGGCTCCATTTTCTCTGTCAGAGAGCTGCAGGACACTACCTCAGCTGAAAACGCAGCTTGGGAATGCCATGCATACTCCTCTCAAGTGCCATTTTCACTGGCAGAGGCACCGGTGGGCAGTCCTTCGCTGTTTCCAGGGTGACCCCATGGGCCAGATCTAAGCCCCCCATAGGCCGGAGCCAGCTCACAGCCTTGAGTTTGACAGTCCTGGTTTAATAGATCATAACCAGTATTTCAAATTGCATCTAAAAGTCTACTGGAGCTACCTGAGCTCATAGAGCAATGATGGAACATGGATAAATTGTGATGGACTCATAACTATCCAGGCCATTAGATGCTGAAAAGCAAACTTCAAGAGCAGCATTATAAAGAAAACATTGGTATATTCCAAACAGGAAGTGCCATGTAGGAGGACCTCCTGATCCATGAATGGCACAATTGGTGCATAAGGTGGAATTATGCAAAGGCACTCTTGGCCCCATTTATCAAATGGTCTTTGAATTAATTTTCTCTCAGTAAGTGCTACTCCATCTGGAACTAATGAGAAGTTTCCCAGCTCTGGGCTACCTAAGACCACAATTACTGTTTTGGACCAGAATTCAGATTTAAACTCTGACAAATGTCTATGGAGAATTCAGATTTTAGACTCTGACAACATTGCTGCAGCAGGGGATTGTCAGGCTTGGGAATCTTCAAACCATGATTCATCTGAAGAGGCTGAGCAATAGGCACCTCCTGATCAGCTGCAGCAGTCAAATGATGAGGCACAATGTCCAAGTCCCAGGTTTTGATGCATGCAATAGCAAGCAGAACAACCCAGTCAATGAGGCTTCTCACTAGGCAAAGGACGAAGATTGGGAAATTATAACCTCTTTGTCTTTAGTCTTTGTTGGAAACAACTATTTGGAATCCTAGTTTGTGACTCTTGCTCTTGAGTTTATTTACTATTGAACTTTGAATACTGCCTGACCAGGGGTGGGTTCCTGCCTGTTCTAACCTCTTCTATAGACGAGGTTCCACAAATCTACAGTGCCGTTTAGAACTGGTTCCAGCTCCCTCCCCCTGCCCATCCGCCCATCATCAAGATGAAAAGCGAGAGGAGGAATTCTGGGAGTTGAAGTCCACAAGTCTTAAATCTGTCAAGTTTGAACACCCCTGGGTTTTTTTCTAAAGGGTTAGGGGTGCAAGGGTCTTGTAATTTGACAGCTTTAAGACTTGCGTGCTTCAAATGCCAGAGTTTCTGAGCCAACATTTTGGTTGCTAAGCAAGAGAGTTAAGAGAGTTTCACCACATTTTATAAGTTGGCCATGCCCACCCAGTCACATGGCTGGCAAGCCACTCCCACACGGTCAAATGGCTGGCAAACCACTCCCACATGGTCACATGGCAAGCCACTCCCACAAATCAGGTCACACCTACAGAAGAGGTTCTAAAAATTTTTGAAACCCACCACTGTGCCTGACACAGCACTCAGCACTCTGACTCCTGGAATTAATTTGGACCACTCTATTGCTGCTTAAACTGCAAACAGTCTTATTCAGGCAAGCTATCTTTGCACAGACCCCGATTTATGTCTACTGCTTTCTACTTAATTCCATAGCAACTGTGTATGCATGTATGTGTTTTGCTATCTGAGACAGAACATTTGTTTTCAATCCTTAACTCTTAAGTGACTGAATAAAATTTATTTTGTCTTTGAAAAGCATTGCAATAATCCAGTATGGAACAACTGACGGCTGAAAATCTCAATTAATTTAGCAAATTGCCTTACTCACTGTTCAACTGCAAGCTAGGTGGGTTCAGCCAGCACAGGAAGCAGTCGCATATCCTTCACATCATAAATATTTCATTTAGCAGAAAAAATTGACAAAATGTTATCTCAATTTCATAGTTTCTCGGATCAATGTATAATTTAATACAGAAATCTGAACCTGAGATCTTAAGGCTTCCCTACACATAGAGTTAAAGTTGGATTTGCCATACATTTACTGAATGGTACAGCTGTTAAGTGAGCGCAGCAGAATTTTTAGTGCAACAGAATTCTTGTTAGAGAACTTGGTTGAATTTAGTCAGCATTACAAACGATGTTAATTACAAACAATTAATAGTCATATTTGTGAAATAAAACTAGGACACTGCTCTACATATGTGACTTCAGGTTAATTTCTCAGGATTCAGCCTGGAATGAAGGAGCCTTGGTTGATCAGTTCCAGGAAGGGTGCTGATGAAATCCTAGATGAGTTGGTTAGAACTGAATGTCTGGATACTTGCATTAAATAATATACAGTATGTATATCTTTGACTAGATGTTTGGTTACAAAATGAAAAGTTAGAAATGAAAGATACAAGCTTATTACCAAACTTCCTGAAATGGAGCGTTAGGATTAGGGTACCCAGGATACTAGGCTGTCATTAGCCTTTCAAGAAACCATCTCCAGCAAGTTCAGAATAAATGGTCACAGCTCAAACCCAAATATCACATAGCCTTCCATC